GTTTGATTGATGCAAAACTGGATCAATAGCGAGTGTACAAGCAAACAAGCAGGAAAAAGACAGGGGCAGTAAGTGTGCTAGGGAACGGCAGTGGGAGGACCTGGCAGGCGCACAGGAGTTGATTCAGAAGGGAGATGCAGCCCCACCTATGCTGTTGTGAGCAAACCTGCCCTCCACTTCAGAACAATTGCTTTCAAAATGGGTTTAATAACAGGTGTCAAAATGTCAGCTGGTTCATAGCAGGGAATTGTGCTGGGGACACCAGTCACACTAAGGTGAGATAGCTCAAACTGACTTGCAACAGAATTCAAGTGTGACCAAGTTGCTGTTGAGCAGAACAAGTATTTTGATCTAATGACAGAAATTCTGTGCGGGCACAGAAAATGATGGGGGGCTGGAATCCAAAGAGATGGGAAATAAGCATGAAAATACTGAACAATCAAGACTAAAAAAACCCAAGCTAACAAATAATCCTGCCTTATAGCATTGCTCCTTCCAGTTTTCTTTACTGCTTTCCTCCTGAGTGGACCAGCATTTTGCTTTTTCTGATCATGTTGTTCGCCACATTCATGCTTGGCCTTAAATTGGAGTCTTGGTTCACATCAATTGTCTCATTGTGAGAAGACACTAATGTCTTTTTTTAAAAATTTGGACTATTTTTAGGGGCTCCATAAGAGCTAAAATGCCTTATCCATACCCATATGGAGCTGTGTTTTCTATGTGTATGATGCCGCTACAGATTTCAGTGAATTATAATGACTGAAACGTTTGTAGGGTTGGCTTGGGGATAGTAACAAACTCTTTGCATTTGGTCTACCCTTAACTACTGAGAGGTATTCTTGATTTTCACTCTGTTTTAATGCAGAATACTCGGTAGTATCTGTGGGGTTTGAGAGTTGTTTTTAAATTAGAAAACAACAATTAAACAAGAAGCATGCAGAAAAATGCTGCGGTATATTTCTAGCAATTTCAAGATACATCATTTTGGTCTAAAGCTTGCATTTATTTTTCATGTTAACTTCTATTTATATATTCATTCATATACTCTGGCTTGCTTCACCTCATATGGGAGCAACACAAAGCAGAGGAAGTCCGTAAGCCAGATAAGCTGCAATTAGGACGGGTTCATTTTGTCAGAGCTATGCAAAGCATCCAGCACACAGACTGGCCTTGCCTCTCTACCAGCTCATCATATCCACCCTGCTTCTCTCTGCTAACCTGCACACGTGCATGGAAATATCCCCTTCAGTGTGATAAATAAGTTTCATGCAGTGATTAAATTTTGAAAAATTATTTAGAGTGAACGGGAAATTTTCCTTATTATCTTCATAGTAGAAATCTCAGCTACGGGGACTCATATTCTTCTTTCACATTGGGTTTTTGTTTCCAACGGTCTCTTTGGAAGCATCTAAATTGCAAAACCATGATTTGAGCAATAGAAGGATGGATGCTGTGACCAGGATCTACAGCACAAACGGACAAAAGACAGAGCAGCCAGAGGGAAGGCCACAGTCCCCCGTCCTGCAAGGAGATCCTCTGTTCTCCCCAAAGCAGAAAAAGGTTGGGAGACCAGCCAGAGCTCAGCATGCGCTCAGGAGATCCGCTTTATTTGAAATTCTCATCCAGCCAGGTGCGTAGCAGTATGGGGGACACAACCCTTGAAAGCTGTCTCCAGTTCCACATCTGAGGCCAGCAGTCCTCCTAAAATAGCATCAGCCAGGAAAAAGGCTACTTTTTCACTCTGTGATCTTCTCTCCGATCAAAGCGAAACCTCATTCTGAAAGCCACCTGCTTCCAAGCACAGAACCCAAAATGCTCACCTCTCCCCACTGCCCCACAAGCACACGCACATGTGCGCTTTCAGTGTTTTTTATTGTTGCCTAGTTCCATCAAGTTCAGAACCTACTACCAAGATCATTTTAATGCAGTGTGGATTGCACTGTCCAGGTATAATAATTTTCAGTGTTCAGTTTAACGTGGAAGACATCACTGCAAACAGGAACATTAGGAAAACAATTGTTTTAGGAAAATGTCAGGAACTTCATTTTTTAACATAGGCTTATGTTTGACTTCCAGTCACTTGAGTGTCAGAAATTTGCTACACAGGTCCCCTGTAACTGCTACCATGCTCAAGGCATGACTCATAATGATGGTCCAAAATGTTCACTGTACTGCTTTAGGGATTTTTGTTGTTGTTGTTGCTTTTTCCTCTCAGATCAGAAGGGAACATTACAGTCATCTAGCCTAAGCGCCTGTAAAATGCCAAGCCAACACCTAGTAATTCCTCTAGTAAGCGTATTATGTTTGCTGTTTTGCCCCAGACGCAGAACTGTTCAAGACTCCAGGCTTACTTTAAAGCTACAACAATTGCTCAGAGAGTGGCAGAATGTAATCTCCGAGCAGAGATGCTGCCTCTATTTCTCATTTTTCCTAACAGGTGTATAATCTGAGAAGACACAGGCATTCAGCCTTCCTTTAGGGTATATGAAGATGTCGATAGAAAATAAAAGTGCTCCTTTACCTTTCTTTATAGGGCCCGCCTACATGTCTATTCAGGCAAGCTAATACCTTTAAAATCACTTGCACAGTGAGTACAGCCAGTAAACGACTTCCTCTGCGGTCCTTTTGCCTTAAATAAGATCTAGCACACTTTTAACTTGAAGCAAATTCTGCTCCTCATCTCAGGCCGTTTACTTCTGCTTTCAGTTCATTTAACCCTTCAAGCCTATGCGTGGACCTTCAGTGCGAACTGACACCTGAACAGGCTTTCATCATCTCTGGGATCCCTGTCCGGCCTCCTCTCCAGCCCCTTCCCTGCAGCCTCTCCACAGCCATTTTTCCGGATCCCACTGAGGAGGAACAGCAACTATTTTTAGGCTGCCTCTGTATGCCAAGCACAGAGGAATGTGGCTGAGAGCAGGGCTTGCCGGGAAGAGAGGAGATGGTCTGAGGGTAGGCGCCTACCGCAGTCCCACCGGCGCTGCGGTGCAGCGCTGCCCACAGCCAGGCACGCCGTCAACAGCGGACGGAGCTCATTAGGAATCTACCTGCAGCTTCCCAGGGCTCAGCTGGCGCTACGATCCTGGGGAACCGAGCGGGCAGAGCTGGGCTGCCTACCCTGGCTGTACCCCTGCTACCGCGCACTGATCTCTGACCGCGGCGTCGTCCTGCCCGCCACCTTTTTCCGAGCACCAGGCCCCTCGCAACGCTGGACGTTAGCGGGACTTTGGCCCGCGGGACGTACCAGCGCGCACCTGCCCCAAAGCCAGCGCAGCCCCCTCAGCGCCGAAGCAGGGTCCCCGGGTCTAGCCCTGCCTCCGCCCGACCGCCGAGGCCGGGCCTGCCGGCCCCTAGCCGACCGGCTGTTGCGGGGAGCCCCGCAGGACGCCGTCGCTGCCGGGACCCGAGGCCGGCGACAGGCGAGAGGCCGCGTCTCCTCACAGCGGCGCGGGCAGCGCGCGGGCCGCTCAGCCCAGCCCAGCCCAG